TTGCCCCAACTTCCTTAAAGTGGTCCCTCATGGCTACTTTAACCAGATGTTTTCTATAGTTGTCATGGTTTGCTGACCGGCAAGTGGCTGTACTGTATATATGCACTATATTTTTAACGCAGTGATACTCTAAGCTGCATAGCAATTGTGATGTAAATTAAACATTGGTATGGAAGAAATGGTTAGACCACCCCATTTAAAATGTGAAGCCAGCATCTCAAACTTTGCCATTAAATATGAATAAACAAGCCCACATGGATGCGTTTGCTGCAGCTGAAAAGGCAAGCAGCAATACTGGCATGGTCATCTAAAAGTTACGTTATTCTTGGAGAAGAGAGATTGTTTTGTGGAGCGTGCCCATTATTGCCCTTGACATAGGTTAGCCATGACAATCAAAATAAGTTGTTCAAAGTGATTTTAAGTGTTTTGATTTGTGTGTTGTCAACTTTGTCTTATGTCAACAAGCATACGCAAATAAACTGAATAAAAATGCAAGTTGAAACCAACCAAAAACTATCTTTAAACATCATGTTTTTATCACAAGTGCTGCTGTCAACAGATAGGTGAGTTGAGATGATGTTCATCTTATGGGCTACTATAAGTTAGGTTAAGTTGGTCAAGTGCATGGTAAGTGGCAATAGGAATTGTGTAAGAATCGGTAATTCACAACTGCTGCTGTGATACAAACAGGTTATACAGGATGAGATGATGTAAGGCCTCTGTAGGTTAGGCATAGGCTAGTTTGACCCTTTGAATGTCATTGCGACCAAAACGATACAAGACTGCTCTGCGTTTTGGCATTTGAATAAGCGACAAAGATTATGTTAATGAAACAAAACGTCCGACCCGGGTCATCCTAGGTCAATGGGCTATTCTGACCTCCAAGAAGTCAACTGAAGATGCATAATGCGGTTCCTGCTGTCAATAAATTCGAAATGAGCACTAGAAACTATCACATACAGCAAGCCGTAGAGCGATAAATCAGGTTGGTTTTGAGCTTGGTCTGACCGTCATACCTGACCTTTGGTCAACGTAATTTGCTCATTCAATATTTGTGGTGCTTAGGAAAGTATCTCAGAGATGTATGTATTTGTCAAACACTCCGTTGTTGTATTAGAGTGAATGGTTCCCTAGAAATTGCCTTCGCTGAAACCATGGGCCGACTTTGACCTGTCATAGGTCAGCGACCTTGCAAGGTACATGTAAAATTTGTATGTCAAGCGATCCGCTATGCAATTTCCGACAGCCATGCAAAATTTGGCGCGGCTACACCGCGCCGTTCAGAAACCATTCGGGAAAAGCCCTCGGAGGGGGGTCAATTTGCCCCCCACACTCGAGCGCGTGTTAATGTTATCTGTTTCACTTTGATGGCGTAGGATGTTAAAACGAAGTAGCTTTGTCAGGCTCCTGATATTAAGTCCATACCAACTTGAACGATATGTTTTTGTTTGCTGAAGCATCAGTCACGAGCTCATAAGTTCCATTTTTTGTGAATTGATTTTTTCACTCCCGCACGGTCTTTTTGCGATGGAATTTTGCACCCCCACCCTAGTTTAAACGCGATTCTAGCTCCGTGTGTAAAACTGGAGTAGTTTCATGTTCGTGTAAAATTAAATCAAAACGATATTGCTTTGTAAAGCATTAAAATTTGACCTCGCATTACGGGATCAGTTATTGACAGCAGCAAAACGTTTATTACCAATGGCGTGATCTCGTTGAGACGAATCCACCGCTTCTTTTTCGGGAGCCCCTATCTTCGGTGGCTTGGAAACGGTAGGAAAAGGGGGGAAGGGTAGAATATCCCTGCTCCCCTTTTAAAGCTGCGTTAGAAAAAACGGCGAACCAGGTTGTTTGCGGTTTTATCTGAATGTTTTGAAAACTTGTTCTCTATTCTCCATCTGTGGGGTGGTCCCTCATGCTGCTGCTCCATCTGCACAGTCCTCTCTTCATGGGATATACGGTCCTCCTGCTCCTTGTCCTGCGGTATCGTTCATTTACTAGGCGACTTCTCCTTCTGGCTCTACCCCTGCTCTTTGTCTTAGACGATCCTCCTTCATTGGAACTCCTGCTATTCCTCCTGAATCGTGTTCTACCTGGGGCACAGCTTCCCTCCCGTCCCTCTTCCTGTGTTGCTCTCCATCTGCAGGGCGGCCCGTACTCCAGATCTTCCTTCTACACCGTCCTCCATCTGCAACACGGATCTTCCTCGTCGTCATCTTTTTGCAGGGTGGCCCCTTCCGCCGGCATTCTTCTTGCCCCGTCCTTCCTCCGCGAGATAGGCCTTCCCCTGTTCCTTGCCCCGCAGTTTCTTTGTTCTGCGGAGTGACTCCCCCTTTCGCTCCTCCTGCAACGTTCTCCGCGTTCTCTTCTAAAATTGGTCGCATTTTCTTAAACCGTATCGTTGCACCCTTCGAAACGCATTTTTGACTTAATCTGTGTCGTTTCTTTTACATTTTGTCGCGCAAAAGTCTTGAATGACGAATTCTAGTGTCACTGTGGTAAGAGGCACAGACATACATGAAATTGGGATCCGATCACTTTTTGGGTTTGTGCGGTCAACACGCATATGTTCCCAGTTACTGGTGTGCTGGCGCATCGTCATGATGCATACCGTTGTTAGCGTGGCTCAACTCTGTTCTACGGGCTTGGGCTCAACTCTTTTGCGCCGAGCAGCTAATGGAGGAATTGAAAATGGATACAAAAAACGGTGGATGTATTCGATGAAAGTGTGTGCACTTTCCCACGGTTTGCTTGATTTCTCGTCGGCGGCGACGGGACCATCAATCGGTGACATTTTGAAGTCGCTAAAAAGCGAAATTGTAGCTTTTTGGGTGAACTTGCTATTTGAGCAGATATATGCTCGGCTTGCACGACGATTATCGGCGCAAAGATGCATTGTACAGTCTCGTGTTGGCTGCATGAATTGCAGGCGGCACATGTGTCGGCGTCCTGAAGTTGGATTCACGCCTCCACTGGCTTTGGCTACCGAGGTGTAGCATCAAACGTGAAAACGGTCAAAAACGGGGATTTTTATCGCCGCTATGCACGTTGCACGTGCAGCGTCATAGTGACATAACGCGACTCTCTTCTAAATGATCTGTCGCCGCATGTTGATTTGGCGCCACTTCGACCCGCGTTTGCCGAAATGCGGCCGCGGTCTCGAACGGTCACTCGCCGGTTTTAACCAAGGCGTCTTTTTGCGTCGCCCGTGCTCAACCAATGGGATAAATGCCATCTCCAACACGCGCAATGCGCCACCTGTTGACCACACCGGCACGAAACTCAGTATAGCACGTCCTCACGTGCGCACGTTCACCATGTCAAATTTTCACTTTTATACGTCACGTGGTTTGACGTGCTCACGGGGTCAAGCAAAAACACGACTCACAGGCGCACGTCACGCAAATAGTTCGATGGTAAAATAAATAACAAGGCTGTCTAGTTACTTTGAGTTCTGCGTAATGATAAATTCAGAAATATGCAATGGCCGTAGTGCATCGGTCCAAAGTACGGTCATCAACCCGCACTGAGGGGGTAACAGCCTGGGGAGGCCTAGAGAGAGTTAGAGGCGGGTGCGTGAATTCGTTACTTATATATAATGCCACCTCACATGCATTTTTTCACGTCGAGTTTGCTTAAAGGACAATACAAAATAGGTAGAATCATGTGCATAGCACGCACTAGCTGTACTTTAGGGAGATCAGCGTCGAAGAGGTGTGCAGTCTGACGTATTGTAAGTGCGACATGGTCGCGATAGAATGGTATTGGGAATCAAGTTTCACGGAATTGAGAAAAGCACACACGACTTAAATAAATTTGTGTACGTAATGGAGACCAGTTAACGCCTAGATCATGTAACTAGATCATGTAAGTGGGAGTGCGTGTCGAATTAGTAGCGCATGGTTTGTGTTGGATTTTTCGCACTTCGTTCCAAATCACCGTTAAAATAATCTCAGCCCCGGTGACCCAAAACCATTTTCTACAGGTCTTGTATAGCGATTGCTCCTATTTCAGATCCTAGTCCAGGCATGGCCTGATCCCCCGTTGCTGTTCCTTCTGGTCTATCTGCAATGCACCATTTGTTTTTCAAAACTCATCTCCTAGTACTGCGCAGCAACAAGTCGGTGGGGGAAAGAGGAAAACGTTTGAAAAGAAATGGAGGCAAACATTCACATGGGTTGACAACAGTATGGAAAGAGGTGCAGTGTTGTGCTCAGCATGTCGTAAAGCGTCTGTGGAAGGTCTACTGCACGCACAGAAACGTGTTGAGGCAATTTTCCCCGAAAGGGGGATTTCGTAGCTGGAAAAAGGGAAGTGAAGAAATTCAAGTGGCACGAAATAAGCCACGGCCATCGACATGCGACATTGAAGCTCCACCTGAAGAACTCCCGCGAAGTGGAGCACGGCATGACTGCGGGGGAGCCAGGGTCAAGTCACCCGGAGGCCAACTCTGATGTTTTTATCCGCATGGTACCTGAGAAGACAAGGGTCCCTTTCTAGGGACATGAACACGAAGGTGGGGCCTGGCGACCATATGAGCTCGAGCAAGCGCTGATTGACGAACTGAGTGACGTCATGCAGTTTATCAAGAAGCGAGACAACTTGATGTCAGATACGATTCAAAACGAAATCATGGCTATGTTTGGCCGCGATGTCCAGGAAGGAATCTTCATAAGATCCAAAACGCATAATATTCGGGCATGGTCGCTGACGGAACCACAAATGTCAGTGGCATCGAACAATTAAGTGTACGCTCGCAGTGCGTGCAATATGACACCACTTCCACGAATGCTGCCGTGGGTTTCTATGATGCCCCAAGTAGCTCATGCGAGCTTCTGACAAGGATCGTTCTAGATGTTCTGACACCATTCAACGTCCCAGCGACGAAGCTGTCAGGTTTCTCGTTTGACACAGCCGTGAGCGTGCGTGGAATTCACCAGGGCGTACAAAGCAAATCGAAGTCCCTGAACCCTATCGCTGTGAACGTCCCGAGTTCTAACCATAGCCTGGACCCGGTCCTCCAAGAAGTTGGCAGGGAAGTGCTCATGGTAGCCGACTGCCTGCAGTACGTCAAAGATGTCGACAGTCAGCGAATCGGTAAAGCGTACAAGTCTGTACGAGTCGCTGTCCCGCGAAGCAGAGGTGATTCGAAAACCCTTGGGGATATGCGCCCCAATGTGGTGCGTGCGAGCGACGGCTATGAAACGGACGCCGGATCTATACAATCACATGAACGAGTTGCTCTCGAACGTGAAAGAGGATCGTTCAACCCGCGGTGAGATGAGAGCAAAAGTGCCGAGCTCTCCCAGAGGGCGGAAGATTCTCGCACGTACATCTCGCTGACACTAGTGCTTGCCATTTTCCAGCCCCCTGAAGTGGCGGCAGTGTCCCTGCAGAACGCCTCCAGCGCGGCTTAATTAGCACTGCATCCGGTTCACCTTCCCAAAAGCGGTCTGCAGCGCCTGCCGAGCGGGGGACTGAAGCAAGAGACTGCGGAAGTTGTAGCAAAAGCTGCTGATCTGGGCCTAGCTGCGCCACCACCCAGGAAGCGCACAAAAACACCTGGGAAAGTGCGGTACGACGGCCTGACGAATGACTGCCAGATGTCGCCCAGCGAGGTCGCGCGACTATGCTCGGAGGCATTGGGCGTGCAGAGGTCGGCATCGCCGTGCTGGAATGCCGCTTCTGCACCCCAGGTCTCCAGCTCGCGGAAAATCGTGAACAGGCGGTTCTGGAAAGTCGGATAGGCTACCAGCTGTTATCAATGGACGCATTGAAGCTGTCGCCGTCCGTCGATCATGAACGGCTAAACCGTCAGCTGTCGGTGATGAGTAGTCGCATTCCCGAATTACCAATCTCTATCGCAGAGGTGTACGAACAATTATTGGCGATGGATGACCCGACGAGACGGATGCTCAGCGAGGCTGAGAACTCCTGTCCCTAATGCTCAGTCTCCCCTGCACGGTGACCTCGGCAGAGGGGTCCTTTTCCATGCTCCAGACGTCTGAAACCTACCTGCGCGCCAATATTGGACATTTTCGCCTGACTCATCTGGCGCCCATGCATGTTCACAAAGAGAAGCTACACAATCTTGACATCAAGGAGCCGTGGAGACGCTTCGTGGAAAAGCTCCGGAACGGATGTCAATGTTCGTTCGATGCTAGGTAACTTCCACAGGCATGAAGCCGCTGAAAAATTGTCATCATCTACTTATACATATATATATATATATATATATATATATATATATATATATATAATACTGCTAGTAATGTAATGCAATGTATGACTTTAGGAGGGTTAGGCGTACCGTACTCCGGATGTAATTTATCCAAGTGCACTACACACACATATGAACGCGCACAAAATCAAGCGATGCCATCAATCGAGCAGTATGCGTCAAATAAGCAGCGCGCATCTCTGTCGCAGGCCGCCATCCCGAAATTTCCATTGAGCATCTGGACGCTCGGCGCAATGCTGAACATGGAGCATTACATCCATTCCAGTACGTATTCGCATATGTCATTTGTTGCTAACGCTAGGCTGAACCTGGAATAATTTGGAACAATCGCAGTAGTCGGAACTGAGGAACTAGCCCTAGCTCTGGGATCAATCTTCTCCAAAAAATGGCAATATGCTGTTCTTTAACTAAATTTCAGGTTCAACATAAACGGCTGCATAATGTGTAAACGTCTAGAAATGTATGAATATGATACAAACACAGTCAGTACTAATGTGACCTGTTTGCGTACAAGCAGGCTGCAGAGCCCCATGTCATGTCTCTTAATAATTCGTGCCCTCTCAACGAAATGACTGACACTACAAGAGAATGCTTTTGTTGCAGTTATATCGTCAAGCATCCCTTAACACGCGCTCGGGTAGGCTTGGGGTCAAGTTAACACTTCCCCGCGAAGGTTTTTCCCGAATGGTCTCCGAACTACGCGGTGCAGGCGCGCCGGATTTTGCATAGTTGTAAACAATTGAATAGTGGATTGTCTGGCATAACAATATAGATGTGCCTTGTAAGGTCACTGATCTATGACAGGATAAAGTCAGGCCATGGCTTCAGCGAAGGGAATTTACAGAGGACTTTTCAATCTGATCCAACAACGGTGAGTTAAACGAAGTCATGCATTTCTGAGTTACTTTCTTAGGCAACACAAGAATTGATTAAGCAAACTGAATTGACCTAGAGTCAGAAGGGAAGATTAGACCAAGGTCAAAACCAGCCTGTTTTATTGCTCTAAGGCTCCACGTATGGGGTAGCTTCTGGTGCATATTTCGAGATTATTAAGAACATAAGCCCCATTATACACCCCCCATGGACCTTTTTAAGGTCAGAATAATTCACTGACCTAAAATGACCCAGGTCAACATTTTGTTTTTAAGAGCATAATGCCAAACATAGTCTTTGTCCTTTATTCAAATGCAAAACTCAAAGTAGCCTTGTACGGTTTTGGTCACCATGAACTTACAAAGGTCAAAAGAGGTCACTGACCTTAAATAATCATATGATGTTTTGCTTAGAACAGTTATCTAGGTTCTATGGGTCCCCTGGAGACCAACCTGGAATTTGACCTTGTTTTACCTTATTGGACGAAGGTCATGACCTAGGAATCTCAAACATTGACCCAAGTGAGTTCACGTATAGATCAACATACCCGGTGAATTTGGTGTCTTAAGCTCTTTTAGTTCCTGAGGTCTGAGGTGGGTCAAACTGACTCCCACCACCCGAGCGGGGGATATCCAATCGACCACCTGGGCGCGTGTTAACTCGATGTCGTAGCAGCACGAGACCATAAAACAATGCATTTGATATACGAAAGAAAGGTCTTGAGCCCTTAGTTGTTCGGCATTCTGAGTTTTAAGCTCTAATGCTGTAAATAAAACAATAAAAGGAATAATCCCTTTCTCGCGACCATGAGGACCGTCTCAAAGCGTCGAGTTTTCTCATAATGTATACCAATGCTGGCTTGATAATATCTAGCTGGTTACGCAGAGTATATGGTCATTGAATGCCGCTTATTTAACTTAAAACTCATAGCCTATAGTAACCATAACCATAACCCATAACAACCCACAACAACAGCCATTGCCCACCCATAAGTGTTATGAGTGGAGACGCGAAGAAAATCTATATGCTGGTGTAAATTTGCTAACCAGTCATAGTCTGAGCAATGAGTGGACCCGTGGTCTGATCGTATTGAGCCATGGCAAACAATCTTCTCATGATATTTCAATAGCCATTGGCAGTTGGACCAAAAACAGACCTTCGAGGTGGTCAGCCTTGCACCGGAGCTGGACTCCATCGTTAAAAGTGCGCTAAAACCTTAAAAAACGTTAAAAGTTCACAATAGCGTGAAATCACCACATTAACAATACAAAGTTACTGAATGATCTACCTCGTGGTGCAGTAATTATAGACCAAGCCTATCATGGCAGTAATTAATTTGAGGTGACGGTGGCCTCTCAAAACTTATGGCGTTTTCAGCCCTATGATTTTCTTTCTTATGTGCCATAATCGCGAAAGACGGCGCAATTGGATTTGGGGATATGGACGTTATGGCGTGCTACGCTGTGGCATGTATGAAGGCTCGTTGATTTCTTAACCCGAATATTTGCCTTAAAACAGATCACCTATTCACCTAAAATACCGAATCCTGGAAGAAAAATGGATGAAGGAAAGACATGAAACGAGGATGGATTGTCAAACCATGTTTCGTTCGCTCCCCGACTCTGCAATCGTTCGCATCCACGCACCCAGCATCCATGGAAATTCGGTTCTATCATTGAGTTCATTTGTTCAGTCACAGATTATGGTTCGGACAGCTTTGACCAGCAAATGGCTTAACCTTTGCCCTGATTCCCCGTTTTTTGCACTACGGACTGAGTGGGGGGGGGGGGATTAATGCGACCCCCCTGGCGTTTCCAAAGTAATAAAGATAGAGCTTAGAGAAACATACCGCCAGGTTGACGTCAACGGGACCTTGCGATTCGTACTAGGTGTGATGTTGCTAGGTCAATAATTGACCTTATTATGGCAGGTGAAAGAACGGAGTTTCCAGAAATCGTTTTTTCCACTTAACGTCATACCGCCAAGACCATGTGGTATGGCGACGCAAACCTTACACAAGCGTGTCTCTTGTCCGATTCTAGCGCAATGAAGTGTCTATTATTTGTTTGGAACATGCAGTTATGCCATATGACTCCGTTAAAGGGAGGGGTACACATTTATATTGGGTTTTGAACTGAAATAGTCACCTTGAAGTACTTTTGCTGCCGTTAACAGCCCTACCTTCATAAGACCTAGATCCCTGTATTTTCTGAGCTATACGGCCGCAAAAAATGGGGAGAATATTTCAGGGAGAAAATGTCAAAGTTACCTTGGTATTCATGACATCATAACAACGTCATTCCAAATCATGTCATTCCGTAAGTCATGTAGAAATCAGGGTCGATACAAATGTAATGGTTGAGTCGCTCAAATCTGGCGTTCGTGAGCACAATTTCCAGGTGAAACGGTCGTCAATTGGTTATCAATCACTTCTGTGCAAAGTGTTATCACGTAATCGAACAATGACGTATCGAGGAGCATATTTACCAAACGGAGAAATTGTGTTGTCTAGAACAGCCTTTTCCAGTTAATAGTAAGCCAATAGTTATAAGTGAGGTTGTTTCATCATATCTGATGCTTGCTTTAATATCTTCAAATACGAGACATTCCCTAAACACGCCCCTAGGTGGCCAGTCCGGTATCCTTCGCTCGGGTGGGGGGTGAATTTGAGCACCTGCCCCCTCCCCCCGAGATCTCAGGAAGTAAGAGAGCTAGATACACCAGATTTGCAGGGTGTGCTGGCATGTACTTGACCTCACTCAGATCAAAGTTTGAGGTTCCTAGGTCCTTTCAAGGAACATCCAGATTTAAAATACCAAGCGATCCGCTATTTGATTGCACACAACTCTGCAAAATTGGGCGCGGCTGCGCCGCCCTGTTCGGAAATCATTCTGGAAAAACCTTCAGGGGCTCAATTTGACCCCCACCCGGGCGCCTGTTAAAGGTAACAATGTCAGCTCACCGCGCGCTCTACGGTATCGTCGGTTGCCGAACACCCGCCCGCCTATGCGTTGATCACCGTGCAGTGCTTCTTAAAAGCCGCCGCTGCTCCGAAACCCGAAAAAAGGGTGGAACACATATTTGATGTCAGAACACGCTCAATGAATTTTCCATACCTTACTGAAAACTTGGACCCGATTGTACAAAATACCGGAGATGGATCTTCAAGAAGCCTTAGAAGAGGTTGGATCAACCCCTTTAAGTATCAGGGCGGAGGTTAAGTTAGAATATCCTTAGGCAGCACATCCAGTGAGTTCGATCACCTGTTATAACGCCGCCACTTGCAGCAGCATGCATGCTTCTAGGTAAGCGTCAATTGCTTTTAAAACTTTCAGGCAACCAATTGAGTTGGACTTCGAACGAAATGGGATTGCCGATGGAGTTTGTTTCGATGTTTACAGAAGTAAAAAACAACAACGAAAACGCGCACAAACGCCAAGCATGCCTAACTCACAATCTGACCAAAGGCACCCATGCCTTAGACCAATGACACCAATGGCACCAATGTGTGAGGCGAAACACACATTTATTTGCTGTATAACTTCAAAAATGGATACTGAGGCTGGTTTCAGGATCCGAGATGCATTTGGAAATTACGTGGACGGATTTCCACATCCAACATCGCCAAATCCATTTAGCACGTTACGATCAAGGGCAATGAAACTATAATATTCGTGTCGTCCATACCTGGCGTTCATTAGCACAACTCACAAATAAACATGCCGTTAATTGGCTCCCAATCACTGTCGTGCAATGTACAATGTTGTAATGGAACAATGATGCGATGAAAGGCATATTTGCGAACCCGCGTCCGGCCGGGGAGGTGGAAGTTACTTCTCCTGCGGTTTTCGAGCACAGGTCAACAACAAACGCTTGCACCTGTCAATCTATCAATTCGGCATCCTTTGAACAGCTCAAAAGT